CTATTGGTTTACTTAGTATCACATTAAGCAGTCTAGGTTCAACTAGTCAATTTGTTGTTTAAACCAAATCAGCTCCAGCTTGCTCCCAGTACAGTTGGTGTTCTCAGCCATTCTGAATCCATCTGGTCACACATCAGCTACGTGCGTGTGGGCAGAGCTCTTCAACGAGACTTGGAGCAGCAAGGGAAAGGAACAGCTGCAGCTATTATAGCCTCAGTGCCTCACAGCCCGCCCCTCTTCCTGCCTCCCTCAAAAGCCACAAGGATAACACCCGTGCTGCTGGTCAGTTAGGAGAACCACCATTCAAAACAAAGAAATCATGGAAATCCAAGTTTCTCTTTTGGTAAATGATTTAATAAAATTAAACTAACCATGGCCTTTTACTACACGGCCTCCCTTGCCATCCCCTGCTTTCTCCAACTCTGCGCATACACGCAGATACTCATATACAGGCTCAAACACGCTCTTGGAATTATACAAAAATAAAAACATTATTATAACTCACACAAGCCACTCCCAATTTTGATTCATGGTTAATTACATCTTATGGTAAACTGTCAACTTCTCTGCGTTTGTATAAAACCTCAGAATATTTTAATAGAAGACCCAGTTATTTGCTACTTATTATCACTGTAGTAACAGCTGCCATTTAGCAAATGCCTATTATGTGCCAAATCCTGTGTTAGGAGAGCATTAGGAATATAAAGATGAACAGAGCTGAGGCCAGGCACATAGGCAAGATGGCGACGAAATGGTCCCACTGCTTTTCAGATGAAAACATCAAGAGGCACTTACTAGAAAACTATGGGTTTTCCTTACTGAGGAAGGATCAGATTACAATTTAAGATAATACTTCAAATTGGTAGTCAAAATCCTTCTGCTTTAGTATATACCTAGCAAGTGTTCGCACAGTAAAACCATAATAAATTTTAGGTGATTACTCAATACAAGATGTCACCTTTCCCCAATATCTAAGTATTGGAATTCTGTCCACTCTCCCTTCTCATCTCCAAGGTATGCTGCTTTCTTATCTTTCCTAACCCAAGGTGAATTCCCTTCATCTAACTCCCATCATCACAACAGAAATTTTGAAAGCAGGAGTGCTAACACCCTAAGATAATGCAGGCATTATAGCATTTAAATAGTTTCAGGACTGATAAGGCCTAAACATTTTTAAAGGTGAAATAGGTAACAGTAATAACTGCAAACAGAAAAAGAAAAAAATTAATAACACAATTAGGCTGTTTAACAAATCAAAAATCTTTGAAGCGCACTGCGAAGAACAGGTGGCAAGGCCACTCTGGGTCTCCTTATGTGACAGTCTTTTCCAGGGGGAGACTGAAGGGCTCTTAGTTCGGGCCAGGCATTTTTGAGTGAGGCGGCAAGACAAGGGGCCGACTTCAGGTTATCCAGACCACAGACACATTTGTATATGGAGCTGCACGGTCTCCCCATCTCGCTTCCCCTACCTTATACCCCATCTGAAGTGTCCTCTTCCCGTTTTTTCAAATCTTTCCTTACTACTGAGATACAACTATAAGAAACTTGACAACTTAAGTACCGCAAACGATAGCCAACAGCAGAGGCCATAAGACAGTAACTGCATGTAACTTTTGCTGTCTCCTGTATTCAGACAATACTAAACAGCATACCCCTAATCCTAACAAATACGGCATTACAAGTAATTCAAATCCATATCAAATATTTTAAATATAAATCAGGAAATTCATACCTACCTAATTCTGTGAAAAACCAACAGGATGAAGAAATCCTGCAAATAATACTCAAGTCCAATTCTACTTTATATTTTACTTCATTTTCATTTTAAACACGAGAGAAAAGAAGCAAGCACTTCTCGG